TCCCTCAGCAATGCTGAGAGCGGAACCTAATTCCTGAAGATAAAGGAGGGCTAGAATTTTGAGTGTAACAGAGCTCAAGAAACAGTTAAAGAGGAGCTGGGTGTGGTGGCACACACAGGAAGCTGAGGCAGGAGGATTACCTGGAGTTCCAGATCAACCTGAACTGCAGAGCAAGATGTTGTTTCACAAAGGGGGAGAAGGAGGAGGAGGGTGGGAAGGGGAGGAGGAGGAAGAAGTAGTTGTTGTTATGGAGGAGACTGACTTATTTTACTCCAAACCTGCTTGGTTATGCATGAAGCCATCGGGGGAGGGGAACACGCCTCTGAGGAGCCTGAAACAATTGGGCCACGTGTAACTTTCAGTTTGTTACAGAGGTTCACATACAGTAAGTGAGTATGATCTGAGAACTTTATCAACCTAGAATGTTCAATCCCAGGCATTCCTTCCCAGTCTCCCGTCTTGGAACGCCCTCTTCAAATAAGCCACAAAAGGCAACAATTGTGGGTAACACTGGTTACTTATTTGAGCCTCAGCTTTTCTCACTGCTGACCCTTACCAAAATGAAAACAACGTCTCGCTACCAGAAAGAGCATTTAGAGAGTTACGAGGAATTGACAATGGGAGATTAAAACAAACTAGAGTTTGAGGTCACCGACTCAGTGAAAAAGTTAGTGTACAATGAAACCAGAGTGTAAAATGACTGAAGGTCAAGTGAAAAATGAAGTAAAGATGTAGAGGAAAGGGGACTTCGGCTCCCCAAACCTGCTCTTTGGAGCAGAAGTTGGTATACTATTTCTGGAAAGTATTTTGGCAATATGTATCAAAATGCAAAATGTGCACATCGTTTTCACATTTCTTTATGCATTGTGTGTGGTATGTATGTGTCTGTATGGATGTCTTTCTCTGTGGTGTCTGGGTCTGTGTGTATTTGTGTGTGTGTATGTGTGTGTGTATGTCAGTGTGTATATGGTGTATGTGTCTGTGTGTGGTGTGTGTGTGGTGTGTGTGGTGTGTATGTATGCAATAGTGTGTGCTGATGCCTTCAGAGACTGTCGGATTCCCTCGAGCTGGAGTTCCAGGCCATTGTGAATAGCTTGGGATGGATGCTGGGAACGAACTTGGGTCCTCTGGAAAAGCAGCAAGCACTCTCCTTAACTGCTGAGCCGTCTCTCCAATTCTTCTTCATCATTATTATTAATTAGTGTTGTTTTGAGTATTGCTCTTGTTGTTTAGACTTAGAGATAGGGTTTCACTCTGCAGCCCAGGCTGGCCTTGAACTCACTATGTGATCCTCCTATCTCAGCCTCGTGAGTGCTGGATTAACATGCCTACTCCACAGGCTTGGCTAGGAATAATGTTAAGCAAGAATCTTAGAAAGGTTTTTTTAGGAAAAAGTATTGTTGCATGGATGGATGAATGGATAGATGGATAATTTTAAATATAAGCAAATTATACATGATATGTGCAATATGATTCCAAATACAATAAGAAATGCACACAGAAAAAATGAAGATGCCAAGATACTAATATATCTATATGTGAGGTTTGTAATTGATTTTTTTATTTTTAATATCCCTGAACTTGAAAGATTTCCGACAATGAATTTGTGTTATTTTGATATAATAGGGAAAAACTAAATGTTTAACCAAAGGGAAACAAAAACTCAATTGAAAAATAAATCAGATATAGTGTTAGTCTTTACCATGAATTTGGTCACCTGTAATGCTGACAAAATAAGGAGGTTTCAATAGAGTCTAAAAAGTTGTTTCTTGGGAATTTACCACTAATAATTGGGTTGCTTTGATGACATTTTAAAGACCTTTCTTCTGCCTGGGTGTGGTGGTGCATGCCTTTGATCCCAGAACTTGGGAGGCAGAGGCAGAAGATCTCTATGAATTTAAGGCCAGCCTGGTCTACATAGTGAGTTCCAGGATAGCCAGGGCTACATAGTGAGACCCTGTCTCAAAGAAAAGAAAAGGAAAAGCCACTGGGTTTGATATTACCAAATAAACTAGGTGTGGTGATACAGCCATATAATCCTAACACTCAGGAGATAGAGGCAGGAGAGTATCAGAAGGCCAAGGTCATCCGTGACTTCATAGAAAGTTTAATGACAACCTGGGCTACATGGGACCTTGTGGTAAAAAAAAAAAGAAAGAAAGAAAAAGAAAAAAGGAAACTCAACGTAAATCAATCTGGGAAGTAATGGCATGTACATAAACTGCAAGAACTATACAACAGGAGCTAGAGATGGATGACGATGGACAAGTGATGCAGTCTGCAAATATTAGTTTCCTTATGTTTGCTGTGAAGAATACATGGAATGTCGCATAGAAGATGTAGGCCAGAAGCTGGAATGCGTGGCTCAGTGGTAGAGCTCTGGACAAGCATGCCCAAGACCCTGCGCTTCATTCCCAGCACCACATACATAAATAGTCAAATGGTACAAAGTGCCTGGCAGGTAAATGACACTGGAACAGGAGTTTTCTTCCATATCCCTTCAGAGAGAATCAAAAGGGCCAGGCGCTTCATGGTCAGTTGCCCAGAACTTTAAAGGAGACACAATGAGAAAACAGTACCTCCTGACTCTTCTGGTGCAGTCGGTGTTTGAAGTCTGGTGACTCGCGTCTGTCTCCTCCACTGACTATTGCTCTAGTGCTGTCTGTCCCTAGCAGTGTTTTCTCTTATCACAGCAAGGAGAATTGCCAGGGATGCTCTCACTTATTAACTCTTCAAGTGCCATTTGTATGAATTCCCTGGCACAGTGCAGTTTGTATGATGACTGAGCTCTCACTAACAGGCTTCCTCTGTCTGGATTCTGCTGCTACATGTAGAGCTGAGAGTTTGCAAAGAAAAGGAAAAAAAAGGGGAATGCTTTTGATCTTCTTGACTGCTGATGCTACTCAGTTTCCTTCAGGTCTTATTTTGCCTTCTGTAATGTGGGTCTTTGATTCTGTGATTCTCCATGAGCAAGAGTGATAGTATTACAAAGGTCTTCATGACTTAGCAGTTAATAAGATTAGAGCATGGTTGCTCTGTTACCACTACTTGTCACTAAATGGAGGAGTGTGCTGTTAAGAGGAACTTCTTTGGAGTCTGAGCTGAAACTGAAGGTAGGACTGATTGCTCATAAGCTTGTCAGCTTGTCACTCTGGTGGGAGTCCATATTAGGCAGAGGCCAAGAATGGAGACTTATGTAGCAAGGTGCAGGGAAAGGTCTGCATTTCTGCATCAGTTTTCTCTAAAGAGCACCAACAAAACATTAACCCAATCCACTGCCAGAAGACAGCAAGCAGCAGCTGGGTAGTAGACAGAAGGCAAATATCATTCTCAACATTCTGACACTCTTTGAATCCATTTTTGTCTTCTCTTCATGATAATAGAACTGTCTATACCACAAGAAAGAGCAAAATAACTGTGAATAGCATCAGGCTTTCAAAAAAAAAAAGACACTCCCTTTCTCTCCCTACTTGAAAAAAAAAACAGCTTTTCAGAGAAAAAAGTAAAATACTGACTTTACTTATTTGATTTCCATCGTGTCCCCAAAAGCAAAAGGAATTTAGTGAAAATAAAACTTCACACTCCTTGTAGGGAAGGAGCCCCTGCTTCCAACAAAGCTCAGGGGAGATCTGATGAATCATTTTACTCTGTGGTCCGTTTTTATGACTATCATCTTTTCATTTATGTTTCTAATGAAAGTTTATAATTGGTAAAATTGTGCATAAACTTCAGGTGAATTGATGTGTGTGTGTGTGTGTGTGTGTGTGTGTGTGTGTGTGTGTCTGTCTGTCTGTCTGTCTGTCTGTCTGAAAAAGCCATTGGTGAGCTGTGCCTGGTGCTGCAGGCCTATAATATAGATAGCACTCCAGATGCTGAGGCAGCAAGACAGCTGTGCCTGGGCCACCAAAGGAGTTGGAGGCCAGTGATGGGCCTTAGTGCTTGAGTCCCTGTCTCGCTCACGCAAGGCCCTGTGTTCCATCCTCAGCACCACCAAGACTCTTTGATTGTTTTATGGAATTTTCTGGAGTATTCTAAGCACATTGTTTTTCCTACATGAGTACAAATGGCATCCTTAACAGCAACATAGTTACATTACTTTTTTTTTTTTCAGAAAAAAAGACGATTTATTTTTTAAATTTTATTGCATGGTTATGAGTGTTTTGCCTTCATGTACATATATGCACCATTGGCATGCCTGGTGCCCATGGAGGTCAGAAGAAAGCACTGAATCTCCTGGAACTGGAGTTCCAGGTGGTTGTGAGCCACCGTATGGGTGCTGGAAACTGAATGCTGCCTGCATGCAGGAGCGACAAGTGCTCTTATCCTCTGCTCCATAGTTGTGTCTCTATTACCGGGTGCCATCTAAAAGAAACCACCCAAGGAAAGGCAAGGGGGAGGCCAAAGCACTAACCTCTGTAGTAAAACTGTTCTCAACCTGCAAACAAGGCTTCTGTCCTTTGTAACCCAGGCAGCAGGACATGAGCTAAATCAGTTGAATGGCAGTTATTGTATGTTCAGAAGGACAGGTGAACCCTCCAATGTCCTTTTGGCTACAGACCTGAGTGGGTCAACTTTGGAAAAATTACATTTATTGTTCAGGAAACTGGGAACTGAAAGCCCAGGGTCTGTCTTAGTGAAGTTTCTGGTACCTGGATTATCCCTTCTGAGAATACCAGGGTCAACAGTTCATTTACGGATTCTGGCCATGTGTCATAAAAAGACAATGTCTAGACATTACCCAACAGCTGGTGTTTGTTGTTGGTTATCGAGAGCACTGCGTTCCCTTATATAAGAAACCAGGCTTTGTTTGGTGTGGCTTTACTGTACCTGAAACTTGACAGAGTCGGGGACTGTGGAAGAAGGCGATCAGGGAGAAAAATAAGGCTACTTGCTAGTGCTGGAAATGTGCGGCTCATTTAAAACAGGTAGCAGGAATGAGGGGGTACCAGGAGGGATGGAGGTGGCTGTGCTAGAACCTCAAAACCTTTCGTTATCCACAGCACACAAGCGAGCTCCAAGAGAGGAAGCCATGGCTGCAGTCATCCTGGAGAGCATCTTTCTGAAGCGCTCGCAACAGAAAAAGAAAACATCACCTTTGAACTTTAAGAAGCGCCTGTTTCTCTTGACTGTGCAAAAACTTTCCTACTATGAGTATGACTTTGAACGTGGGGTAAGTTTCCCAAATGTGAATTTTACCATTTCAAGGACTTAGTCTTGCATCTTCTGTGAGACAGGAGATAGGTCTTACATAGTGTGTATGGGGTGGGGCGCGTAGAAATAAAATAGACATCAAACTCTGAAAAATATTTCCTAGCCTAGGAGTAGGTACAGACATGCCAGGAAAAAATTCAAGGGTGTGAGAAGCTGTGCAGGATGTCTTACCACAGAATCTTGTGGTTGGTAAGAAGTCGTTATATGCTTGTAAGGATAAAAGCCAAGAAGTCGCCGGGCGGTGGTGGCACATGCGTTTAATCCCAGCACTCGGGAGGCAGAGGCAGGCAGATCTCTGTGATTTCGAGGCCAGCCTGGTCTACAGAGTGAGTTCCAGGAAAGGC